GGTTGGTGGGGGGCCATCGCCGAAAACATGACCGAGATGAGCATCACAAACAGCGCAAAGTACTTCTTGACGAGGCATGAAGATTATCGACATGTCCAGCTTGGACTTCACGTTGTTTCCTATTGGCTGAAAGTAAGAGGGCCATCCGGTCCCACTGTCGAATTTCTTGGACGATCTACAAGCCCAAAAAAGCCCAGGAGAGTCATGATTAAAATAAAAAAAAAAATGACACAAAGAAAAAAAAACAATTATTTTTATTTGCACTCACTCGAACAATGGAGTGTCGCAGCAAATGCAATGGTATGTCCCAGGGGTTTTGGTGTTCCAATATTCTCTGTAACCCAAGGAAGTCGAAAGATTGTTTTATATATATTATTTGAAATGTGTAATGTGCAAACTTCACTCGATATTTAGGAACCCAACATTAATTGCTTCACGGAAGTGACATATAAAATCAGACAAAGAAATTTATTTGCAACTCAAACTCTAGCTTGTTGAATGTTACAAAATGAACAGAAAAAATATATAATGGAAAAGAGCTTAAGGAAAAGGGATTATATATACCCAGTGAAAGCCCTCTCGGTGCCTTTTTGCCGAGTAACATAATACTGTTGATCGGTGAGCCTTTTCCTCCACTCTTCATCACTTACGGATCTAAAATTCATGCTCCCTGAATCTGCACCACATCATGCATAAGACAAAACTCAATCCTGACTATACGAACATGCAAGTTTTTTAAAAAAAAAACCTCAATCGATAGTAAATATGATGATATTAACACCAGTTTAACATGAAGGAAGCTCAATTTAAACAAAACCTTCCAACCAATGCATACTAATTTATAACTTGTGATGAATTATAAAGCAAAAAGTGTTTCAGGTTTAAACAGCAACTACCAAGTGATCGAATGAAATGCAAATTCACAAGGCTTAAAGATGATGCACACACATTGAAAGTTTTAACAGTTCACACAATCACACATGACATCATAATTTTACATGTAACTCCACTAATTTTTAATGACTGGAGCTTTCAAACCAAAAATGAACGCGATTTTCCATCCTAATAATAAAAAGAACCAGGGGAACTAAAAGATCTGAGGTTCAAATCCATGAACACATGTACAGTTAGGACATCATTATAGATATATGTCGTTCATCCAACATAATGAAACATGACTTGGAACATAATATTTGAAATTCGAACAGGACATCATTTTGAAATTCAAAGCCCACAAGCTAATATAATTGTTTCAACTTTCAACCCACTTGTCATATGGGACATCATCAATCTCCAATTAAAATCATCGCAAACCAAAAAAGTCCCATTTTTTTCTCTACTTTGATAACACAAATTCTTGCGTGAGGCAGCCTAACGGTTAGGCGGTCGACCCAATTATATCATTTTCTAATGAAAGTATGTGCATCTGTGAAAAAAAAAAAAAAAATAGGTCGACCTAAGACCCACAGCTTTGGGCTGCAGCAAAAATTAACACTATATATCAACAACCCTGCAATATCCATAGCCAAAATCACTTTCCACATGAAAAATACTCATAGATCAACAATTAAATTTTGAAACACATAAACGTGTAGAGAGAGAGAGAGAGAGAGAGACCTTGAAAGCTTTCTTGATTCTGTGAAGAAGATGAAGAAGAGCCCATGGCAGAAGCTGAACAAAGGTAAGCCCTTTTACTTGGCCTGTTCACTGATTTCCCAACGAAAGCTGCAGAAATAGGCTTGTTAGAGCCAAAACCCAAATGGGATTTTGCTGAATTATAATTATTCACCCAGCTGAAGCTAAACTTGGCTATGGAGTTGAGGGCCATATTCAGGCTTTAACGAATTGCATCAAATTGGTCGAACGGTGGGTTGTGCCTCAAGAAGTGAGGTGATTATCTTGTGTTTCGGGCCCTCACAACAATATTATGCACCCGCCGATCGATCGGTCAACTCTTGAGTTTTTTCCCAATGGCAATGTTGACCACATATACCTGGATAATTTTGATTGGGCAGCAAGATATGATATTGTGGTCGCGCAGGTAGCCAAATCTGTTTGAATAGGTGGACAGTTTTGTTTCACGAGTTCTATCAAGTGGTAGGGTTACAAACTAATCGAGTTGGCGGTCGAGTCAAAGTTCGACTCGAACACGAATTTAGATTGAACTATGAGCTTATATTTTGTATTTTCGCGCGGCTCGATATACATATTGAATACAAAAACATCCATTATATATAGAGAAATGCTACATTACCAACTTAGTGTATAACTAAATTGATAATGTAAATTTAGCATTTTTCATATATGTATATCACGGTAGTATTACATATGTGTCAAATGAAATTATTAAAAAGGAAAATGAAAGGCCCATGCATGAATCAGTCCAATAAAATGGGCCTTGGTCCTCAAACGATACAAAGAAAAGCCCAATCCTCCCAGCCCGCAAGGAGAGGCTGTAAACAGCACGCTCCATAAGGACGCGTACGATAACACTTTTTGCCAGCCTCCATCGCCATCAGCCAAAATCCTCAAAACCTGAAGAAGAAAACCAGAGACACTCGAGCTCTAAAAATTCGAAAAACATGGGATCACTATCAACCCCCTCACCACCAAAACCATGGAAAATCATCTTAAATCAACCAAAACCCATGAAAATCCCACCCGCCAACTTCTCCCCACACAAAAACCCAAGAAAGCCCATCTCCTGCCTCGCCTTCGATCCGTCCAAAATCGCCGCCTCCTCCGCCGCGCCGCCGCTTGTGGTGGTGGGCTCGGCCAACGCAGACATATACGTCGAGATCGACCGGCTGCCCAGAGAGGGCGAGACCGTGTCAGCCAAAACCGGGCAGACGCTGGCCGGCGGGAAGGGCGCGAACCAAGCGGTCTGCGGCGGCCGGTTGCGGTACCCGACCTACTTCGTGGGTCAGATCGGGAAGGACGCGCATGGGAAGCTGATAGCAGAGGCTTTGGAGGGCGGTGGGGTCTCGCTGGATTATCTGAGCGCTGTGGACGGTGCTCCGACGGGGCACGCGGTGGTGATGCTGCAGGCCAACGGGCAGAACTCGATTATCATCGTCGGCGGAGCGAATATGGCTTGCTGGCCGGAACTTTTGGACAGGGAGGATTTGGAGGTTGTGGAGAATGCGGGGATTGTTTTGCTCCAAAGGGAGATTCCTGATTCTGTTAACATTCAGG